GAGAGAGAGAGAGAGAGAGAGAGAGAGAGAGAGAGAGAGAGAGAGAGAGAAAAGAGGGATAGAGAAACCCCAGGTTTTATCCCCAGTGAGAAAGATACCTGCACACAAATTTAGTAATATTATTGGTAACATTTCAGAAACGAGAATAACTCTATTTTCCAAATCTTTAATTTTAGGCTTGTGAAAGGGAACTCACATAGTTTTGGGTTATGTTTATCACTTACTCTGCCATTATGAGGTCATTTATGGGCTCAATGGGATAGCATTGGGGAAGCAAGGCTGGTTGATATCCATATACAGATATATTTTTTAAAACCTGGTTGTTGAATTTCTACTCTAAAGTGGGTACTGTCTGGTGATTAATGTGAGATACAAATATTTTTGCCCTTTGTGTCTATATCCATATGCGTATCGCATAATTTCCAGACTTCCTTATTCTTCTTCCAAAGTCGTTGGTCTCATACCCTAAGCAACAACTGAAGCCTATCAGCAAAATCTATTTGATTCTACTTAAATAATTCCTTTTTCATACTGTGTCAGTCTACATTTTATCACCATGACCAAAATACCTGACAAGAATAACTGAGAGGAGAGAAGATTACGTTGGCTCATATTTTCAGAGGTTTCAGTTCATGGTCAGCCACTTCTATTTCTCGGGTCTGAAGTGAGGCAGACCATCATGAAGGAAGGGTATGGTGAAGGAAAGCTGCTCATATGATGGCAAAAGTAGAAAGTGAAGCTCCAGGGACAAAGTATAAACCCCAAAGGCATGCTGCAGTGACCTACTTCTTCCAGTTACACACTACCTGCCTACAGATATCATCCAGTTCAGTAACCCTTTCAAATTACAAACTCATCAAATGGATTAATCCACTAGTGAGGTCATAGGTTTCATACTCTAATCATGAGGTTTTGGGGAATGCCTCATATCCAACCCATAATGCATACCCAGGTTAATAGCCAAAGATACTATTCACAACTTTGTCCATTAAAAGGATTTTCCTTCACCACTGTTTTTTATGGCCACCCATATTGTGTCATAGTATTTCATTTTTTGTTAGCACCAATTTTTTCACCAGTGAATCAAACCTATATTTTCTTCTTTTTGGCACTGTTTCAGGAACCCCTGATGAATCTCTGCATATGATTTCATGGAGTCACCATCATTTGGGATCGATATGTGCCATGAAATTTGGGACCAACTGTTTAGATGCTTTTTGACCTTGTACTTTACCTTACTGTCATAATCTTTCAAATGCCACAGATCTGAGTAGAACATGAGAATTTTTCCAGCAGCTAAGGATACTATCTTCAATTATACATTTTAGCATAGAAGTGAACACTTTAGCATTTGAAGAATAATCACAGCAGACCTGAAAAATAACTGAACTCACTCTGAGATAAATATTTTCCACAACTCTAATAACTATTCCTTCTCAATAATATTACAGTAAAAAGAGCTTGATGACATTTTTGGTGCTTAGTATTACAGCCTATATCCAACAGTTCTCAAAGAGTCTGGGTATTATTCTTTCTACAATGCAGCAATTATAGTTTTAAATGGTCCTATATTCATTTGGGGAAAACTTTGGATAATTTTTAAATTTTATTCTGGCAGTGACATTGCAGGCTACTTTATGGAGGAGACAAAGCCTTATTTTCAACTAATGGATTCTGTATACATAGAGTGACTTAAATATTTACACAATCTGAGGATTCCTGATTTCTGATTATGGTGGTCAAGATCAATCTAGAGCCCAGCAGTTCTCTAACTAAATGTTTGCCGAATAACATCATAGTTGACTGTCTACTTGGCTTGTTTCCAGGAACACCATTATCTTTGCTACTCTTTGCAGTTATTATATTATAGCTGATTATAGCTGATTGTTAAGTACTGCCAATGTGGTCTCAAAATCCCTTCATCTTCACTGTTCATGAAGATCCTATTTCCATTGAAGCAATCTTCATAGATAAGTCTAACTATGAAAAAAAAAAAGAAAAAACAGCTTCTGAAATTTAAAATATTTCAGATTCCTTTATGGAAACCTATCTTTTATTACTTCAGTGCAGGAGTGTTTTTTCTTCTCAGAAAAAAATAATAATAAATTATCTATCCATTATAGTATGTCCATCTTCCTGATATATGTGTATATGTATTTTATATATAAATTTAAATATATGTATATGTAATTTGAGTTTTTCTCTCTTTCTCTTCATTAGCTTGGCTAAAGGTTTATCAACTTATTTTTTTCAAAAACCAACTTTCTGTTTCAATGATTTTTTTGATTTTTTTTGTTTCAAGTTCATTTATTTTGGCTCTGATTTTAATTATTTCTGTCTTCTGCTTCTATTGTTGATTTGTTTTTTTCCTGAGGGCTTTGAGATGTAAAGTTAGGTTATTTACTTGGTAACTCTCTAATCTTTTAATGAATAAGCTCAATGCAATGAATTTTCCTCTTGGAAAATAATAAAGAAAATTGAGAATCCATCAAACAAAAGAGGTAAAAGACCTCTACAATGAAAACTACAGAAAACTAAAGAGAGTAATTGAACAAGACCTCAGAAAATGCAAAGATCTCTCATATTCTTGGATAGGCAGAATAATATTGTCATAATGGCCATACTACCAAAAGCACTATACAAATTAAATGTAATTTCTATTTAGATTCCAATGATGTGCTTCATAGAAATAGAATAAGCAGTCATGAAATTCATTTGGAAAAATAAGAGACTCAGATTTGCCAAAGCAATCCTTAGTGAGAAAAATGATGCAGGAGGCATCACAATGCCAGACCTTAAATTATACTACAGAGCTATAGTAACAAAAATGGTATGATATTGGCATAAAAACAGACATGAAGATCAATGGAAAAGAATAGAAGACAAAGAGACATACCACATAAATACAGTTATCTCATACTAGACAAAGGTGCCATAAACTTACATTGAGGAAAAGATAGCCTCTTCAACAAATGGTGTTGGGAAAACTGGAAATCCATACATAGTGGAATGAAATTGAACCCCTATGTCTCACCCTGCACAAAACTCAACTTAAAGTGGATAAAAGACCTAGGCATTAGATCAGAGACCTTGCACCTACAAGAAGAAAAAGTAGCCCCAACTCTCCATTATTTTTTAAAATTTTTAAAATTTATATATGACAGTGGAATGCATTATAATTCTTATTACACATATACAGCACAAATTTTTCATATCTCTGGTTGTATAAAAAGTATATTCACACAAATTTGTGTCTTTATACATGTACTTTGAATAATAATGTCCATGACATTCCACCATCATTTCTAACCCCGTTCCCGTCCCTTTTCCTCCCACTCTTCTGCTCTATCTAGAGTTGTCTATTCCTCCCATGCTCCCCCTCCCTACCCCACTATAAATCAGCCTTCTTATATTAGAGAAAACATTTGGCATTTGGTTTTTTGGGATTGGCTAACTTCACTTAGCATTATCTGCTCTAACTCCACCCATTTACCTGCAAAGCCATGATTTTATTCCTTTTATTGCTGAGTAATATTCCATTGTGTATATATGCCACATTCTTTTTATCCATTCATCTACTGAAGGGCATCTAGATTGGCTCCACAGTTTAGCTATTGTGAATTTTGCTGCTATAAACATTAATGTGGCTGTGTCACTGTAGTATGCTGTTTTTAATTTCTTTGGGTATAGACTGAAGAGAGGGATACCTGGGTAAAATGGTGATTCCATTCCCAATTTTCCAAGAAATATTCATACTGCTTTCCATACTGGCTGCACCAGTTTGCAGTCCTACCAGCAGTGTAAGAATGTAGCTTTCCCTCCACTTCCTTACCAACACTTACTGTTCTTTGTATTCATAATAGCTGCCATTCTGACTGGAGTGAGATGAAATCTTAGAGTAATTTTTATTTGCATTTCCTCTAATTGCTAGTGACCCAACTCTCCATTATGTTGGCTTAGGAATCAACTTCCTCAGTAAAACTCCTAAAGCACAAGAAGTAAAATCAGACTTAATAAATGACATAATATCACACTAAAAAGCTGCTTCACAGCAAAGGAAACAATTAATAGCATGAAGAGAGAACCTACAGAATGGGAGAAAATCTTTACTGCCTGTACCTCAGATAGAGTATTATACTGAGATTCTAGTTCAGTCCAGTCAGAATGGCAATTATAAAGAATACAGGTAACAATAAATGTTGGCAAAGATGTGAGGGAAAAGGTTCACTGACACATTGCTGGTGGGACTGCAAACTGGTGCAACCACTATGGAACACTTGGAATGGAACCACCATTTGACCCAGTTATCCCTTTCCTTGTATATACCCAAAGGACTTAAAATCAGCATGCTACTATGATGCAGCCACATCAACATTTATAGAAGCTCAATCCACAAGAGCCAAGCTATGGAACCAATTTTAAGTGTCTTTCAATAGATGAATGAATAAAGAAAATGTGGGATACACACACACACACACACACACACACACAATGCAATATTACTCAGCCATAAAGAAGAATGAAATTATGGCATTTGCTGGTAAATGGATGGACCTGGTAGATATCCTTCTAAATGAAATAGAGCAGTCCCCCAAAACCAAAGGCCAAATGATCTCCCTGATATGTTGATGCAAATCCACCACAAGGGAGGGTGGGGGGGGGAAGAATAAGACAAAGGGGAATGGAGGGAAAGGTGGAAGGAGGGAATAGAAAAGACAGTAGAATTAATCAAACGTATCTTTCCCATCATTGTGTATGAAACACAGTGTAATGCCACATCATGTACAACCACAAGAAAAGGATCCTAATTAGAATAATTTTTACTTCATGTATGTATAATATGTCAAAAAACATCTGCTGTCATGTATATTTAAAAACACTTTTTAAAAAATGACACAAGCTTCATTGCTCCAAGGATGTCTAATTAGCATTTGGATGTATTTTCTAAATATTTTTTTTTTGTACGTGTCTTCTTCTTAGAATTGGCATCAGGCTTCATGGGCAGTTGTTTTTTTTTTTCATTTATTTTAATTTAATGTTATATTTTGATCACTTTTCACAGTTCTCTTTACTTGTTGCACACACAAGTGGAACACGGTATTTAGCTACACATTGTGTCTCTTGGTTTATTATAGTATAATATTTCAATAATTCCATTTTATTTTTACAAATAATGACTTTATCCATGTCTTTATACTTGTTTTGTTTCACAAATTCTGTTTTTACAAAGAGATTCCTTGGGAGAAAATGTCTTTCTTTTAACTGATGCAAATTTCTGTATTGTTTTTAAACAGTGTTTCGCACTTTTACTGATAGCATAAAGATGTTTTTACCTCACTAAGATATAGAAGATGGCATTATTTTAAAATATTTACTGATTTAATACATGAAAAAAAATTTTCTTGTGATAATGAACATAAGTCAATTAAGTTTGCACTATTCATCATATTTCTCAGATATCCCTTATTCTGGAGTATCATGAAAACTGTTCCTCTTTCTTCAGGACAGTTGCTTTATTAATAAGCTTTGCATCACTGTGACCAAAGCACCTGAGAAGAACAATTTAGTTTTGAGTCCAAAATAAACAACTTAGCTGTTCTTGTTTATTTTTGTCCCATGGCCTCAAAGGTTTAGTCCATGGTTGGCTGGCTCAGGCATATACCCCAGGACCTACTTTCACCAGTTACCATCTAGTACAGGAGTACAGTAGTCCTTTCAAATGATCAATCCATCAGCTAGATTAATATACTCATTAGGTCACAGGTTACAGCTCTCACAACCTAATCTTCTCGCCTCTGAACATTGCTAGATTATCTATCATATGAGCTTATTGGGCAGCACCTTGTATCCAAACAATATTAATTGATGGCTTCTGAGCTAGTTGTCCACAGAGATAAATTTGTGATTGTTTTAGTCTGCTTTGTGTCACTGTGATCAAAAGACCTGACAAGAACAATTTAAAGGAGAAAAAGTTTATTTTGGGTTATGGTTTCAGAGGTTCAGCCCATGTTTGGTTGGCCACAGATCTGGGCCCAGGGGAGGTAGAACATCATGAGAAAAGGGTGCAGTAGAGAGAAACTGCTTTGTTCAAGGCAACAAGGAAGCATAGAAATGGAGGAAAGAGGCAACAAGGAAGATGTACCCTTCAAGGGCATGCCCTCAGTGACTCATCTCCAGCTATGTTCCAGATGCCTATCGTACCAGACATTCAGTTCATTCAAACTAGGACGGGCTGATGATGTTTGAGCTCCCATGATATAATCATTTCACCTCTGGATATTCCTACATTAATACAGGAGTTTTTGGAGGACACTTCATATGGAAACTATAACATTGATGATATGTAGTGGCTTATCAAACTTTAATCATTATGTCAGATCAATGGAGCAATTGAGAGTGTGGGGACACTGTGATCCTTGGTTCAAGGCTCTTTTCCACAACATCCTCTGACAACCCTGTCCCTGATCTGTTTGGTTCTCACTCCATAGATGATGGGGTTGAGCATGGGAGGTACCAGAAGATAGACATTAGCAAAAATGATGTGTACTAAATGGGGCACTTGATGGCCAAACCGGTGGGTGAGGAAGGTAAAAAGGGCTGGAACATATAAAGTCAGGATAACACAGATATGAGAACCACAGGTACCAAAAGCCTTGAGACGAGCTTCGCCTGAAGGCAACTGAAGAACAGCCCTCAAAATCTTCATATAGGATATGCCAATGACAATGATATCAAAGGCAGCCACAGAGAAGGCCACAAAGAGCCCATATCCACGATTGACTCTGGTATCAGCACACACCAACTTCAGCAAAGCCATATGTTCACAGTAGGACTGTGGAATGACCTTGTTGGGGCAGAAGGGCATCCTGGAGATCATGAAGCAGAAGGGGCTCACCCACAGCAGCCCTCTCACCATCACAACTGACCCCAATTTGATCACCACAGATGTGGTGAGGATACTAGAGTGCCTCAGTGGGAAGCAGATGGCCACATAGCGGTCCAAGGCCATAGCCATGAGCACCCCAGACTCCACAGAAGAAAAGGCATGGATGAAGAACACCTGGATGAGGCAGGCATGGTATTCAATCTCATGAGCATGGAACCAGAGTATGGCCAGCATTTTAGGCTGTGTGGAGGAGGAGAGGACCAGGTCAGTGAGAGCCAGCATGGCCAGAAAGAGGTACATGGGCTGGTGCAGGGTGTGGTCGGTCCTGATTACATGCAGGATGGTGATATTGCCAGCTACAGCCACGACATACATGACACAGAATGGGAAGGCAATCCAAAAGTGGGAACTCTCCAGTCCTGGGATTCCAAGCAGGATGAAGGACATGGGATGAGAAGAGCTGTTCCCTGAAGCCAACATCAGGGGAAGGATAATATTTTCTCAGGTGTAAACATAATCTACACACTGCAAGTGATAACAAACAAATCAATGATTGTTAATAATTATAAGCCTTTTTGAATGGGGCAATTGGATTTAGTGATAAACCAAAACCAATTTCACTATTTTAACATGTAAAATTTTGTAGCATAAAATGCTGCTGCTGCTCAGTATTTTGTATTCATATTAATGGCATTCAAAATGGACTTAGAACATATCATCTTTGAGTATAATTATACTTCCAGAATCAATATTTGTTTTGATAGTAAAATATGCTAAGGAAAATACATCTTGGCAAATGTGGTTTTTTACCCCTTTAATTCTTCACAACAGGCATCTGATTGTTTAACCTTTCCCATATGTCCTTTTATTCCTCTGTTAAGTTTCTGAGGCAACATTTTAGGATTTAAAAGCAGCAAGGATTAAAGGACCAGAGGTATGTATGAGTGATGTTGAGTTTGGGTTGACTCTAGGATGGTTACCTTGAGGATTTGGGTTTGGAGATGGCTGAGGGACCAATTGCTCATCTATAAATAAACATCTGTTTTGTAATGACTCCTCTTG